CCAGTGCTAATGTTCCAGTACATTTTCAATTAGCATTAACAGAGGACAGGCGCTCACTTGGGGGAAAAGAAACAGGTACCCACTCACGATAAATAAATCATGATACCAGGTGGAGCTGAATATTGGAGAGAAGGACTCTTGTAATGATAGTGGACAGTACGGAATCTATTTCTCAAATCAGCACTCCACCAGAGAAGAGAGTTTTTACATTACTGACCATCACTCTGTGTTAGATTACCCTTGCCTGTCTTTTCCATCATTGGGCCTTTCTGTCACAGACAAGGCTCCAAGTGCCCTCTTTCACTCTGACCCTCAATTACCCGGCACAATCATTTCAGACAGGTGTTGAGGTACAGTAATAAACCCTCGCCTGATGCTGCCGAGGCAGCCTCTCTTTTAAAGCACCTCTGAGAGCTCTGAAATGACTGAACTCAGTGTTGATCAGGTGCTGTGACCACAGTTGACTCGTGGCTGCCGGCTGATAGTATACAATGAAAAAGAGAAAAAAAAAAGTTTTACAATACCACTTATTGCTCTGTATAGACTGTATAAACAAAATCAGACGTGCTCAGTATTGGCTAGGCAATCCTGCCTAAAAAAATAATGTTTGCTATGATTTGTGTGCTAATCATTCACACACAGAATCCTAGATATTGCTATATTCATCATTATAGTTTTTAGTAGCTTCCACTAGACACCATTTACAGTAAAGAAAATAAGTTAAGTTGTCAGCGGAGGCATTGAGAGAAAATTAAAGACTAAAGATAAACTCAAATCCCCAGCACTCATATCCACACTTATACTATACATTACTGCTTAACTGTGTTGCAAATGGAGTCTTTTCAGTCACAAGGATATGCCATCGCTGCATCATAAAAATTGTAGAGTGATAGTGTCATAAAGTCCATGGGGGATACACATCCTAACTCCAGAGGTTTATCACAGCATCAAGCTGCATATCCAGATTTTTAAGAAAACAAAACAAAGAAGATGTCAAAAGCACTTAGCTATATTTACTATTAACTAGCATTTAATTACAGACCTACATTTTAGGTATTGTAAGGTACGGTAACAGTTGTTTGGAGGATATCAGGCAGTTTAAACATGTGACTCTGTATTGTCCACCTACGTAATCAGCCAGAATAATTTGATGTGCACAGGACAATTAAGTGTTCGTACAGTAAACATGAGCTGGTTATTGCATAGGAAACTGGCACTGAACTCTGTTCACTCACACAATGTTTGGTAAATTTTCTACTTTTAAAATGACCTGTTATTTCATAGTTTGGTATCTTCTTCAGCGATGTACAGATATGATTGTGTTCCACTTTCATTGTAAAGTCACATAATCACTTTTGCCTTCTATCTTTGACTCTTGTAGATTTTCAGAATTCATTTTCTATTTTAAACACATTGTGCGCATTGTTAATGACTGGTTCCTGATGTGTTCATTCATCCTTTGTGCTAAAGCAATCTGCTCCTTCAATTCACTCCATAGCTCCTTCATCACACATTCTCTGACTGGAAGAAAAAGCAGGGACTAGTGTTCATTGTTGCTGCATAGAGCATGTGCTGCATTGTGACCTAGAAAGATTCAGCAGAACCCTTCGAGCTGAGACACTTATCAAGCTAAATTAGCCTACATACCGCAGGCAGGGGTCAGGCTAACTAGCGGTGGAAGCTGGCACAGCTTACCGTTAACACTTGGGAATGCATTTTAAAATGGAAAATAAGCAGGGTCATGATCCACTGCAGAGAAACAGCAACATTCAGGTGATTTTGAACCAGAAACTTTATTTTTACAGCACTGTTTAGCTTTCCTTTAACATATCACAGCAGAGTGTTTCTGTTTGAAATACAAATCTAAATGAGAATTATTTAAAATGACTATCTGCTTATTGCAATAACGTCTAACCAACAACTGTATTGGTGTCATGGAAAGCTTGTGAAATACATTTGACAGATTCTTAACTCTGTGATTAAATTAAGTCCCTTGCTCAAGTTGTGTAACCAAGTAAACAAAGCTATTCAGCCTCCTCTGGGTCTGAGAAACGTCGTACATTAACAACTCCATGAGTAAAAAGTCGGCAAATCACACAGCAAACACGTTGAGTAATTCAAGGATTAGAGGATTCATACAGCCCAATTCCCTCCGGGCAGGCTGCCAAGAGAGAAGCACGGTCCAGGTACTCATGAGCTGTACGATGCCACAACTGGCAGATCTGCAGAGAAGCTCATTGACAGACGAGCCAATGCCATGCATGCAGACGTGTACAGCCAGATTCAAATGCAGGCAATAAATAATAAAGAAAATACCTCTAAGAAAAAGGATTCAGTAGCTATATAAAATGCAGTAGTGAGGATAATAGCAGCATCTAATCACCCATCATACTCTCCTTCTGTTGAATTTGAGGCCAGTGATGTAAGTCAGTGTTCTTATTTTTGATTCAAGGATTTGGTAAGCACATTTATATGAGATTCAAATCATCATATTGAGATATTTGCGCAAGATGCTAAAGCTCATGGATGTCCCTCGCCATGTTTGCAGTGGAGATCACCTGAGCTTTCGATGAGCATCAGCACAATGTCAGTATTCCGTCCCTGTTTGCATTTACATCCTTAGTCTCATCATTTATTCTTTTAAAGTTGGACAGATAGTAAAGAAGGATTTTAGTTCTACATGCAGAGTTAAGATTTTGAGCTGTTGATACAACCGTACTCATTTGTAGTCGTACAAGCCAGAAAGAAGCAAAAACACTGAAAATAATTATAGAGGCAGGAAAAAAAGGGATCATGTTCCACAAATCTCAGGGTAAAAATACACTTTCTCTGCTATTCAGCTGCAATTATGTTGCAAACTCACATGCGCAAAACTTTTTGGAGTTCAAACCACTAGGCTTAATTGCTGAATGGTTCAGGGAAATGTATCATTTACATGCTGCGTGAATGCTGAGTGTTTTCATTTTACAATAGGTTGTTGTTGAGAGCAGAACATGCTGATTGAAGGTGCTAAAATGTCAAGTATAGAGGGCTTGGATTTTAGGTGTTGTCAGCAAACCAGTGTGATTTCAGCTGAAGTGCTTTCTATTCATCAAACACTTAACGCTGTGGCGGTTGATGATAGAAACATGGAGATTAATTTTGAGGTAATAATGAATTAAATTCTTTCAGGTGATCCATGCAGTATAGGTGAGATTTTGAGTTTATTTTGTTTGATGTGGACAATACAAAAGCACTGGAATTAAAATATACATCAGTGCACAAGCGTTGCAAGCACTGGGTTAAGTGTTTGCACTGTAAAGCTGTATGTTTGTGTAGGTTCATCTCATTCTTCCAGGTAGCTACAATACAACATCAAGGCCAAATGAATCAGCCACATGACTTGGGATGTACCACTTTCTCCAGAGGAGGCTTTTTCAGTTCTTCTCGCTTTCCTTTAATGCCACAAACTCATTCCAGTTGATATTTAATTTTGTCTTGATGTAGAATATAGCTAATTTACAACACCTGTCCACAGGAGGCCTTGGTGTAAATAAAAACAATTTTAAAAACCACGAACAAACAATTAAGGATTTATGTATGGAAAGTAGTGTAATGGCAAGCTGTAAAGGCAAACACAGATCTAACAGCAGCTGTGAATAAATCTTAGCTTTTGTTAAACCTGCCTGTTGGGGGTAAATCAGTGGGATGTAAAGCATCTGGAAATTTCATGCAATGTAGTATCAGTTAAGCTTTCACAGTGATTCATAGTAAAGTTTCTTCCACACTTTTGTGAACTTTTGTCATGAGAGTGAGTCCATTTATTTTTAAGGCTATGTATGTGTAAAGGTTAGATCATGAACATTTTGCACTTATTATGCTTCCAACAGTACCAAAATTTGAGTTATAATCAACCCCCTGTGTACATGAAAGGGACCTAGTGGAGATGTCTGATCAACAAACAAAAGTTATGTTTACATTAGGTGTTACTCACCAAAACACGCCGTGTGCATCCTTGAGGTCTAACAAACTTGTTGAGTTTACATCCATGTTTAGCAGCTTGCAGTCTTTTTATTCTCTACCTTTGCTGGCGCATTGCAGCATATTTTGGCATATTGCCGCCACCTGTTGATCAGTGGAGTAGTGTGCTACCATTCATAGGACTGTATAGCCCTTCACAAGATAAACAAAACAGGGACCCACTCATCGATAAACAGCTCCATCGCACTACAAGAGGTCTAAGACTCTACAGGGAATCCTTAAGCAATGCAGTGGTGGTGAAAAGAGCCCTTCGATTTGTTGCGCCGCCTATGATGTTGTCGTGTAAAAATCCTCAATCAGGAATCCATGTGCCATGTACTGTGTTCTACTAATGCAACCCAAACCACTTCAGATGGTCTCAGATTCAACTGCTCAATCTTTACCTGCCTCAAAATGTTTTCACATTGCCAAACACTGATGTGAATTTTACCTGGATTACAAATATAATAATAATTTTTTTGTTGTTTGTTTGTCAGCTGCTGCACTGTTATTGTCAAATGTGGACACTAAAATCACTTTATCCGACACTTGGAGGTGGAATCAAGACTAAAAGTCTGCAGCCACACTCGCAGAACTGTGTGGCTGTGCTTTGAGCTAATTGCTAATAACAGCATGCTAACGAGCTTACAATGACAAAGCCAACATGCTAATGTTTCACAGGTGTAATATTTACCCTGTTCACCATCCTAGTTTAGTGCATTTTCTAATTGGCACTAAACACAAAATGAGTATGAGGGTAAAAAGGGATCACCAAAGTCAGTTATCCTCTGGGTAACATGGCAATCCATCCAAAAGTTTTTGAGATGTTCAGTCTGGAACAAAGAGGTGGACCAACTTTACAGCCATGTGTGGCTTAAAATGAATACATAAGAATATTTGGATCTAAATGAAATATTTTTCTATGGCGCTGAGGGCTAAGATCTCCTTCCCTACAATATCTGATCAATTCCCTCTCTCGTGCTCTCTCTTTTCTATTTCAGGTGGTGGGTCAGATCGATAAACTAACATCCGACTTTGACTTTGACCTGGAGCCAGATGACTGGACGGTGGCCACAGCCAGCAGCACGTCCAGCAGTGAGCGGGGTCTGGGAGAGGCCTTCAGGCTGGACTTCCTCAATGCAGATGTGCTTTCTGATAGCTGGGAGTTCTGCAGCTATCTGGAGGCGGCTGGCGCTGCTGCCGCCCGCAGACCTGGTGAGCAACCAGGAGATCCACGACAGGATCTGGGCCGCGGGACCATCCCCACCCAGACACAGACCCCCACCACTGCCTCGGTCTACTCCCAGATGAACGGTGGGCTGCCTATCCCTAATGGGCCCCGCATTATTACTCCAGATTCATCCAGCGAGGAGGCCAGCAGCTCCACGCACAGCCACAAGACTTCCCGTACCTCTGGCACAAGAGAAAGAGTCCGCTTCAGTGACAAAATTCTGTACCACGCGTTATGCTGTGACGATGACGAGGAGGAGGAGGAGCAAGAGGAATTACAGGAGGACAAGAGTGGCTGTGCTACACCGGATAGCGATAGTGAACCCAGTCTCCTGACAAGCTCAGTCACCCCCAAACGTTCTTCCTCTGAGCACTCACTCCTCCATAACTGTCTGGACCCTTCGTATGTCTCCTCGCCAATGAAGGGGACGACGGGAGCTCACACACTACCCAGGAAAGGTCTCTTAAATCCTGGCTGCCGCAAAAAACTGTTACGAAATAGCAGCACACAAACTGTCTCTGACAAGAGCACCCAAACTGTACTGCCCTATATTCCAACCAAACAGAAAACAAAGGACCACTGAGAAAGCCCTAAGTTTATCATAAATTTCATGAAGAGGACTGTGCATTATTTAATATTAAATACATAGCTCATAGATTAATACACAAATAAATTAATTACTAAATAAATAAATGATATATGGGAAATCACTCGACTACCTAAAGTTATTCTGAGGCTCAGGGAAAACAAGATGAAATGAAGCAAAGGAGATCATTAAGATGAAAGATACTGGTGGACCAAAAGGTTAGTGCCTGTTCTACTGTTAAAAGAAACACTGAATGGATTCCGTATGTGTAGTCATTTCAAACAATGACAGAGATTATAAAAGCAATCATTTTTACTCGAACATTTGAAGTGTTCAAAATTGGAAGTATGAAGAGGCCCTTTCCCCTCATGTCATACAATAGTTTAAGTCACAAAAAAAGAGAAAAGAAAATGCTTGTTCCTATAATGTGGATACAAAACGCTGCACATTCTGTACTCTGAATCTGTATAAACATTGTCTTTTTTATGTTCCAGTTATTTCAAATGTCAAGGGGATTGTTGCTTTCAGCAGGGTAATGTATCTAGATGCACATGTCAAGCCTCTTCCTCTCTTTGATGTCAACAAACAACTTTGAGCGTGGAGCCAGAAAACAACACTATTTACCTGCCCTTGATTTTCTAAATCATGTCAGTGTGATTCCTTCTTGGTCTGCTGCAAAAGCTGAACGAGTGGCAGGCAGGGAAAAAAAATATATAAAATAATTTGAGAATGTGCGGTCCACTAAAGTGACATTTCCAATTTTTTTTCTCTTCGTTCATGCCTGACTGTGACGTCATTAAACCTAGGATCCCAGCTAAAAAGCAGTCTATAAAAAAGTGCTAAAGGTTTTGTCTCTCCATTCAGTCGCCCAGTGGGGAATTGAACTCGGTAGAGCAGCATTTTATTCACAGGGCTAACGCCAATAGCCATTCCTGATCAATATGTTAGAGGGAGGTTGCAGCGAGAGGTCTCTCTGCTGAGCCTGCATGGCACTCTCCTGGGATCTGTGAACAAAAACTCACAGTCAGACCTATTTACTTACACTGAGTGGAACAAAAATTAGAACTGCGGCCCTAAAGAACTGACATTTCAAAAAATGTGCGTCCAGGAGTGAGAGCTGGTGGTGGAAAGAGAGAGTGTTCCTGTTCAAAGATTTTTTTTACAGAGCAATAATCTACCCCGGGGAACGGCTTTGTGAGCCTGCTCCCCTGGTCCTCTCACCCGTACTTTCCTAATGTTGTGTTTTCCAGTTCAAAAAAAAAAAAAGAGAAAAAAAAGTAAAGTAAAATGTCATAGTCTTAAAGAGGAAAATCCTTGCTGACTCCTGTGAAGCTAACCTTTGTGCCTCTGATCACCTAATGTGGACTACCTTCCGCAGTAGGCAGAGATGGTCATAGAATCTTATTTATTCACATACTGTAGAAAGAAACTTTACTTACTCTATTACTTCATATATTTAATGCTTCCATGTAAAATATATATATACAGTACATGCGAGCATGCTATCTTGTTTTTACCTCAAAATCACAGGCTTTTTGTGGTTGAAACTACTTCTTATGTGATTGTTTTTCCATCAACAAGTCAATTTATCATTAGCATATTTTACTAAATTCATGTAAATTAAGACAGTTTTAGTCTGCAGGAATGTTCTCCATCTACAACTGGTCAAAGCAATATATTGGAATCAACAAACAAACTAGACTAATAAAGTCAAAATGAAAATCTCATTCTACTGTAAGCCAGATAAATCTCCTTGCGATGCACATAGTGGTGAAGATTTTACAATTTTGGCAAATTCTCAAAAGCAATAATTGTAAATGTGGCTCAAAATAACCATGGACCCTATTCAACAAATTTCATACTAATTCTGTTGACAATTACCTAAGTCATTTTCCAGTGCCTGGTAGTGATTTTCTGCTTTGATGATGGCTTGGGATGCGTCCAGTCTTCTACAACTGGTCACTGCAACACTGTTGATCATTAGGTGCTCTGGAGAAACACATCCATAACAGCCCACCTCTTTGTTTTTGCTTGTGTGTTCATGTATAACAGTTATTGCATAGTCCGCTGCTTAAGGGAATTACAGCTGTGCTGTTTAGGCAGCATCAAGCCTCAAGAGCCCAATATAAGGAAGGCAGAGTGAGCACTTTAACACTAGGCAGCTTGGTGGAAGACGCACAAGCATCAATTAGCCAGAAGCTGATGTGCTATACATGCATATATCAGAAGTAATTTGGTGATTTTTTTCCTCCAGTTTTGTAACGTTTTCATTTCGTCTTGCTCTGGCTCAGTTAATCCCAAGTACCTGTGAAGAAAGAGCCACTGAAAAGAGATCAATGGCTCACTCCCCAAAGCATTGGCTGCCATTTCCCTGCTAGATTGGGGACCAACAGGTCATCACAGCCATTAGCATAAACAAACAAAGCTATGCCGCCACACAGGCAAAGCATCAATTACAGGAAAACAAACTAAGCCCTTATTGTGATGCCTATACACCCGCCAGACATTATAATGCGAGGGGGATTTTTTTCCCCCTCTCCTTTCCAGTCTAAAGATTTTATAAGTCATATCTGCGATGAAATCACCTCTTCAAATATAGAGCGGTTTGGCACTGGCGCAGAATACATTATCATTGGGGACAGATTTGAGATATTTGGACAAAACATTAGCAACGTCTCTTTTGCCAACAGGCTCATTATTCATCTCTAATAGGGCAGAGCTTTGTCCTCAGTTCTCTGTAGGACAAGGATGGGAGGCATCCAAAGGTTATGAAAACCTGAGCACACCGATGCCAAATCATCTGCCCACCAGGAAGATCATTTTGTGATGTCACTGAATACAAAACAGATGTGTGTTTGTGTACGTGTGCATATGTGAGTGTCTCTTGTCTGTATGTTCACTGCCTTTGTGCCTGCACACTGTGTCAGGAGATAAGTGATATTTTCTGAATTATATATTGCCTCATGTCTAATTTCATATTTCACTGTCACAGCAATTAATGGAGATCAATACAAATAGACGCAGCACATCCCCCTGGAAGTAATTTGGCCAGACTTGTCCATAAGACAAGATTAAACAAAATCTCTTTGAGAAGGCGGCAAAGTAAGTCATGCCATCTGTGTTTTGACATCAGCAGTGGGCATGTATTAGTTCACATCCCTGATCAATCCTCTAATCACTGCCAGTGGGACACTCTCTGCTGAGTGACTGACAAATTGTGTAGTGAAAAAAAAAAAACACTTTAAAAAAGGTGATTATGGCACTAAAACACAGAAACATACGCCCCCAACCCCTTCCATACCAACCCTTCATATATAATTACCACACTTCACTCTCACTGCCCCTTGCCCCCGTCAGTGAGCAGAGGAAAACAGATGACGGATCTCTGTTTTCTCAGCTGATTGGTAAGGGTCCATGAAGCGGAGAGCTCAATGCAGCCTCACTGATTACTATGGATTAGCTAACGGCCGGGGCTACCTAAGGTTGATTTGTTTCATCTTTGTGCCATTTATATCCTGCCGCTACTAGAGCAAACTATTTCTATTTCCTCCTCTTTGTCCTACAGTACTTGCAACCTCCTCTCGACACACACCCCTTTCCATTCATGTTATTGCTGGTAAGTCACTGCGCTTCTACTGAGCTCATCAAGAGATGAGACAATAATTTAGTGTCTCGGTTTTGGTCAAACAAGTAAAAAGTATTGTGTCATTGAGCAAAAGTGAATGGTACCCAGATCAAGGCTTGAATCCTACCAAATCAAAGTCAGGCTGATGAGAGAAGGTCAGCAGTAGCGGAACAATGTGTTGAACTTCATCTGAACTGAACGGTTGGCACAAGGTTACATAGCACACCGTGTACCCCATGTAAAGGACAGTGCTGGGTTTATGCACACACAGACACCGGTCGCAATCGGCCACGGAATCCATACCGCTCTGTGGCCTCGGCCAACCCGAGACCGACTCCCAGCACCTGAGGGATGGCCGGACAAGGCCACGTCAACCATCAGTCACCATTTGATTGGGCCGGGGGAGTGATTAATGAAGAACCATGCAACAGCCGCAGATAAGATTAGACCTTCACAGGTGATGAAGGACGGGGCCCTGTGGCGGCGAGTGGGGGGCTGGGCGGTTCCTGGGACAAAACACTTGCCTTCAGATGACTTGGCACACAGTAATTAAAGTTAATGAGAACCCTGTCACTTTCACATACACCCTGGCGTTGTGATTGAACAGTGTGTCAAGCAAAACAAAGAGGCGATAATTATTCTATGATAGGTCAAAGAGAAGACCACCATACGGCTTTGATCAAATAAAACTACCAAATCATTTTTAGTGTTTGTACTGGACCTTGGTTTGGGGAATTTGTATTATTACAGTTCAGATAAAAGACATTAAAAAAGTGCACAAACTTGAAATTTCACTACATTCCTGTGCCTGTCCAAATTTTGTTGCACTGACTTTATTGTGGCAAACTGTCCTTTTGCCACCTGTGAAAGCTGTACAAATGAAGACACTAATACTGACTGACCCAGAAGCAACTGCAGTCCCTAGCATTTACACAAAACACATTTCAGTACAATCACAATTCAAGAGTCAATGAAAAGCATATAAATCCTTCATCTGCTACATCCAGAGTAAATGACAAAGCAATAGATAGATATCATTTTACAATGCAGTCCACAGTCCAATGATCACCACACCCAGGCTAAAGAGAGAGAGTTACCATTTTCAACACATTACCTGACTGATAATTGGAATATCTCCCAATGTGAACTTAAAATGTGGCATGACCGAGCGAGGCACAGGAGTGCGTAATCATCGCCAAAGCAATTTATGAGAGCGAGCGAAAAAGAGAGACAGAGAAAGAAATGATTGCAGCTGAAATGCTACAAGTCTTCAAATTGAACCACCATAGAAATGTAACCTTGTTGCATACCACATTAAATTGCACACAAATGATGTGTGTAATGACATGCTCAGCTGAGCGAGGAATACATCGAGAGACAATTGAATCGGTCCAGAAAAATACACAATTACACGAAACATCACTGACACAGACTGCAGGAATGGGTGAAGCATGTTTCAGCATGATCAGAAAATATGTATTACTAAGTTACTGGTGAGTTGTGAAAGCAAAGAATCAATTGGAGAAAGCGGCTGTTAAATGAGTTTGTATTTGAAAGGTGGACTGTGGAATATAAAGTGCAGCTCTGTGCGTGTACATCTAATTCTGACAATACATGGTAGAAGTCAAAGAAAAGCCAGCAGCAGTCTTTTCCACCCAGCTCCGGTTTGGCAGCCTGTCAGCATTTCCATGGCATTTTACAGGTAAAGGCCAAGAAGGCAGGGAATTGCTGACAGTTTAGTAAGACCAACAAATAAGAGTTAAATGATGATAAGACAGGTGCAATGTACAAGGCAAGTCCCCAAGTGCCCCTTATTTTACCTTACAAGGGGCTTTCCCCATTGCTCATATTTACTACTTTCTCCACAGTTTACACCCTATTCTCTCTCTTCCTCTGTATGCCCCTCTCTCACACATACACACGCACACACTCTCCTCTATTCACTCTTTCCTATGCACTTGTCTCCTCTGGCTGTAATGAGCTCTCCACTCTAGCCCAGGAGGCTGTGACTGAGGTCTTCATCAAACACACAGCAATTCACAAGGTGCCAAGGACAGGTAAGAGTCATTTTTCTATGAAACAGAGGGGAGGGGAATAAGCTGGAGTTCGGTCATGCTGCAGCTCCGGATGACTGATTGTGCCGTGGATTGGTTCCTGTCTTTGGTGATCCCGGCAAAAATCTGACTGGATCAGCTCTGATTGCAATAATTACTATTGTGCTTATTTTTCTCCAATTAGGTTGAGTTTTTTTTTTTTTTAATGGTTCACGGCTTCCTCCTTGTTCTGACTGTAAAGTGGGTCAGCAGACGGAGAGGGGTGCCTGAATGTTGTGTTACGCTGCTGTGCATTTCCAATACATTATAGAAGTGATCATTCTCAAATGACTGCAATTAGTCAAATGTCAGGCTCGGTTTGCTCTCTCACGGTGGCTCGGTGATAAAGTAGCTCAGAGGTATGTCAAAAGATTAATAGCTGTGGGATTTCATTAAGTCAGGTGATGGAAGAAACAGGAGGAATAAACACAAATTCATTCAAACTTTAGTGTTTTCCCTTAATTTTAGTCCTTAATTAGGCACAGAGGACAAAAAAATTAATTAGAGATTTGGTCTGGTTCACATATATGTCACACTTTACAGTCACAGTTGACAACAGCTCCTTATGTCTTATCATGTCATCATTGTTGTGTTTATTGAACAAAGGATGGTGTTTGTATTTTACCTTTATGGACAGATGCAGCCCAAAGTTCTTTGGCTGTCCGGCTGTTATTTATCCCAAAATGGGATAAAAAACAATGTTGGCATACTAGAACTAGAAATGAACTAAAGAAAGCATGATGAATATTTGCAAAATGTGTTTGCCTGTCTAAATCCACACGCACACAGGGGTCAAAATTAATTTATTTTAATTTTTGGCCCGAGTGTTGTTGCCTTCCTGAAATTTCAATTATTTGGATAGTGTGTAGTAGAGTGGAGGTTTTTGGAATGGGCCCAAAATGTTGGAGCTTTCACAATAACAGAGACCTGTTTTGAAGTGGACCCGAGCACGGTCAAACCTTACCAGAATAGACCCAAGGAAACAAAACCAGCACCACCTCCTGAATCAAAAATTACAAACACTCTTGGGCTCAGTTCCCCAGAACTGGGTGAACCTGTGTGTAGTCTCCAAAAAGTACTAATTCTAATGTCCAACTTATTTGCTGTCAGACTAAATTATAGGTGTCCTACACATTAAATAGAAATGCAAAAGTGGTTGTTGCGCAAAATGTTATTGTTTTTTTGTCATTCAAATCTGCTATTATTTACTCCCGCAAACTATAATTGATTAAGGCTATTGACTATTATTTATCTTCTCGATGGACATCATGGTTACAGACATTCCTGCATCATTCCTCTACGTCACAAACAAACACCACTGCTTTTCCTTTAAAAATTGATCCTAAGGCAGCAAAAAGCCTGTAATGTAGCTTGGATAAAAAGCAATCAGGCCACAGTTTTAAGTTATGGCATCTAGGCCTTGTCCAAGTGGTCAATCAATGTTCTCTTTTACTTGTGTCCTCAGTGCATCAGCATGGGCTATAAAGCCTAGAAAGCACAGCCATTAAATGGCTGTGTGGGCCCTTTGCTAGCCGGGTGTCTGGCAATCTGGCAGGGGTTTCTGGCACCCTCTGTGTCAGACCAGGACTTAAAGAGCATGTAAAGTGTAAATCTCCCAGCTGACAGACTGATCTTTGCTGTCTCCAGACCGGATTTACCATCTTGCACAGAGCTGTAAGAAGCCAGCTGTAGCAACATGCTATTATGAGGAATAAAGTACACATTATGGAAATCATTTAATGGACACTAACAACAGTGAACACTCACAATATCTGAGTCTATATCATTGCATAGAAAAATATTCCATAAAGACAAATAAATGTAGTCTGAGTTTACAGTTGGAAAATTACCAGTAGCAGCCAGCTAGAAAACTCTGTGAAGTGTGGTGAAATTCTTCTTCACCTGCACCAGATTGGTATTTTGTTGACTCACGAAGCAGCAAAGAAGGATATGTGCAGTAAGACGTGTGTTTAATGGGCAATCGACAGCAAAGTGTGCAAGGTGCACTGTGTGTTTAGAGTAATTTGTATAACTAGAATAGGCAAAGTGCACAACCATGTACATATGTCATGCTTGTTTGTTTTATTGCATTGTTCATTCTTCAACCAGTATAGACACATACAACTGAAAAGATGTTGTTTTGTTCCTGTTATGACAGTAATACTAGCAGAGTATACAGTTGCATTATCATCTGCTATTAATAACTGTTTTGTAGATTGTCTGCACAGTGCCAACGC